CCTACGTTTGGGAAACTGGTTAACTAGGCATGTTAGTAGTAACTTAGCGGCCGTGCTTGAGAAGAAGCAATTTAGCGGGGTGTAGTGTTTGACGAATCGAGGCTGGCGACGAAAAGATGAGATGCGATGCCAAATCAGAGCCCCCTTCCGCGCTTAACGAATTTACAGAACACCAACATGGCAAGGCTGTGTGTGCTTCCTGGGGTAATCTACATGCGCTTCCTCCATTCCTCTCCATGCTGCCAACACGACGAACGGAGCAAAGGTAAGGCGATCCAACGATGCTTCCAACCCAGTCGCTTGGATGGAATGGCCTCCAAGCACTCAAATCACGACTTACCGGCAGATTGTTGAGTCTTCCTCGGGCCGCACCAGTCGGTAGCCGGCCCAGTAAATGGGAGAATGACGCTGCTTTCTTGGAGGCGGATCTTCGCTACATCTTTAAAACAACCCCTGTGAGTGTCGATTTCTCAGAGCAAGATTACTATGATATGGACCGGATTGCACAGGATCTGCTGGCTTCGCTAAATGATATGGTCAATGGCGCCCTCATAGAATCAATCGGTAAAAAATCGAAGTCGTCTGATACGGGTCTTCACGACATTACAATACTTGGTGACAAGTACCCAAAATTAAGTGGCCTAATCTGCTTTTTGAATGCCTCGTCGGATAAGTGCAATCTAACGACAGGGTCCGGCCCGTTGCTGTTCATGCTTCCTCAGGGACGGGCTGGCACCATTGCATTGGGTCGAGTGGCTGAATGGAAAGCATACTTAGAGCGTCTCATGGCTAGCACACAAAAATCTCTGGGCGCTCAACCCATTTGCCTGTCCCAGAAGGAATTCGTGACAGGTGATGCAGCGCAGAACCAGTCTGACATGTACCAGAAGCGCGCGAGCATTGTAATCAACGCAATATTCAACGAATTTCGGCAGCGCAGTTGTGGAGAAACACACGAGATCAAACTGAGAGTGTCTGATGAGTGGCAAACAGGTTCGGACGGACCCGCTCTGGATATGTTCATTTCCCGGTGTATGGAAAGGGGCGTTTGGCAGCAGGCGAAATGCGGCTCGTTTAAGTAAGGCTGTCTTCTCACCATAAGATTTCGTGGCTCTCAGTCTGACCAACAGGTAGGATAATGGTTGATGAAGCCGAGAAGGAGAGCATATGTGCAGCAATCCAACGGGCAAGCGAAAAAAGAAAACTATACTTATTTGTTGACCAACGCGGATCTTTTGACATCTCAGATAAAATCCCTCCGATACTTTTGTCTTCAGAGAGCTTTACCGCGGAGTCCCTCGAGGAACTCCTAAATCAAAAGGTTTTCACGCGGATCACCGCTCGTGACTATTTAGAAGGGGTAGCGGTGGAGAAATTTGGTTCACGAGAGAAAGCGACGCTTGCCCTTTCGCTTGCAAGGTGTCTCATGGACTTCTTCGATGAGGACTTGGAACTGGCCTCTCACAGTTGGAGACCGGAAACCTTGTACTTTCTACGTCCTTCCGGTGCCAATGCCAGTGACCGCATGCTGTACATATCGCTCAAGCCAAAATTCTCGGGTCCCAAGCCGCCTGACTTGCTCAAGGCAGTAGGACCCGGTAACCCCATCCTACTTTCGTTTGCTAAGCTTCTGCTAGAAATCGAGAATGGCGAGAAGTTATCGATGGAGATCCATTCTGATAGCAAAACAAATGTGTCAAAATGGGGAGAAATGTGTGCATTTGTGAATGTAGCAGAAAGAGAAGGAAACGGAAACTATCTTCAAGCTGTGGAGGGATGTTTGTATCTACATATGGCGCTGCCGAAATTTCAAGAGCAAACCAGCGGTTCAACTGCCAGCGAGGTGTTGCGGAAGGCTATTTATGAGAAAATCGTACGGAATCTCGAGCTTATGGTGAACCCACAGATCTCGAAGCGGAAACGACGGGATTCAGTATCCGATCTTCCGCTCTCGAAAACACTTTTAATCTCGTCTCCGACAACTGACAAGGGACCGCGGGAAGGGCTGCACCGATCCATAAAGTCGCTCCCCAGGGGGATCGCTTGCCCTAAAAGCCGCAGTGACTTTGAGATAGCGATAGTATGCGCCCTGCCACTTGAATTTGACGCTGTATCATTAATATTCGACGAGTTCTGGGATGAGGAGTACGGAAGCGCCGAAGGAGATCCAAATATATACACAACTGGGCGCATTGGAAAATCCAACGTTGTGCTTGTCCTTCTCTCTAATATGGGGAAAGTCAGTGCTGCCGGTACATCAGCCAGCCTTCGATACAGCTTCCCTAGCTTAAGAGTAGCCCTTGTAACTGGAATATGCGGCGGCGTGCCCCGTCCGGGGGAAGATGATGAGCTTCTCCTTGGTGATGTAGTTATCAGCAGGCACATCGTTCAGTACGACCTCGGTAGAAAGTATGAGGATGGGTTCGCGGTGAGGGACACGGTGGATGATAGCTTTGGCAGAGCGCCGAAAAAACTACGCAACCTGTTAGCAATATTTGAGACGGACATGGTACGGCAGCGACTCGAGGAGAGCACAACCGGTCATCTGCAAGAGATACAAATAAAGTCCGCAACTCGGAATCCTCGCCGGGGTGCCAGATACCGGTATCCAGGCGCTCTGCAAGACAAGCTCTTCCAGGCCAACTACAAGCACAAACACCATCTGTCCTCGCCTTGCCTCTGCTCAAAACTCCACCGCAACAACAACACCAACACCAACAACAACAACAACAACAACAACAACAACAACAACAACACCAACAACAACAACAACAACAACAACAACAACAACAACAACAACAACAACAACAACGGGCTATCCACCCACGCCTGCAAGGACTCCCGCCACCAGACATGCGATGAGCTTGGGTGCGATCACAAACACCTCGTCCGACGCGAGCGCCTCGAATACAAACGACAACTCGAGGAAGAGGAGTGCATCAAAGAAGCCCAGGCCCCCTCGATATTTATCGGGAGCATCGGATCAGGCGATACGGTGATGAAATCTAGCGAGGACCGTGACAGGATCGCCAACCGCCACGGCCTCCTTGCATTCGAGATGGAGGGTGCCGGAGTATGGGACGAGTTACCTTGTTGCATTGTCGTCAAGGCAGTGTGCGACTACGCCGACAGCCACAAGAATAAGATTTGGCAGGACTTCGCCGCCGCGACGGCGGCGTCGGCCACGAAGGCGCTGCTTGAGTTGTACATTGGCAGTAATGGTCTACGGTAGGAGTGTCATATATCTTTTATATACGTCGATCTTTTTGAAGTCGTGTGTGATTCTCTTGGTCCTCTGTAAATGAAGAGGACGAAATACTAGCCGTCTCTTTTCCTCGTGTCTTTTTGTCTGCTAAGCTGTGCAGGACTTTTGCAGGCCACCAGCGGGAGTTACAAGGTTTTAATCTTTGCTGGCTTGCTCTATTTTGCAGCGTGAATCTCCCCCTTTCGAACATTAAATTCCGGTATGATTGTTGTATATCACACTAGCTTTTTCATGATTCCCATGCGCTCAGTGCATATAATATAGAAAAACAATGAATTGAAATTTACTGGATGTCATTATTCCTTATTGGAGGATCATGATGCGATAATATTTACACCCTACCAAAATAATAATGATGATGATGATGATGATTAGCCAGACCTTCTCACGGAAAAAAGTACAGAAAGGAAAATTTCCTTCCAAAAAGTAAAAGAGTTCATCATAGATAGAAACATTACTCGGAATGTAACCATCTATATGTATTGAGGGTTTCTAACTCTCTTGAGCCAATATCAATGTAAAGCATAATTATGGCGTAGAGGAGAATTTCCCGCCCCTCCATCGAAGAAAGAAAAGAATTTGAATCACCACCGCCTCCCCCCCCCCCCTTTTTTTTTTTTTTTTTTTTTTTTTAAAAAAAAAAAATCTATAGTTATCTATCTATCTATCTAGTTATCTATCTATCTAGTTATCTATCTATCCATCTATCCATCTATCTATTTTTTTGCAGGTTTTCTTTTCCTTGGATTTCGTCGCTGTTTTAAAGTTCATCTTTCTTCTCATCTTCTCCTCCTGTTGTTTCACTTCTCCTCCGACCTCCCTCCCAACAAGAATCTGTCAAGGCGAGAAACGCTGCCAATACATCAATACCGGATAAACAGGAGGATATCGCCAAGTGTTGAAGAGAACTGAATACTGGCACAAACGAAAGGATGTGGGTCTGTCTCGGCAAGAGTTAATCGATCCAGACCACATTGCTCCGTGCTCAACACCGTAAACCGAAGATCCCAGGGTTCATTCAACCTTTTGAGCTGTCGGACCTGGCAGACCTGGCAGCATGGCCAATTCTTCCCTTGATTGCTTCGTGCCATGGTACCTGCGCCTAGTTTGGTTGCTAGCCTTGGAACTAAGACAACGACCCAACGACCCGCATTTGTAGGGAGGAGGAGGTTCTCCCATGAATGGATGGCATTCGAAACTAATGCACCCTCCTGAGTTTTATCTCCGATTCCCCCGGTGCATGAAGTGCACACCCGAAGCGGCTGACCTCTGAGGATTCATTTTACTTTCCCCCTCCACCTCCAGGGCCCGTGTGTGTCGCGTGGCAGGGTCGATAATTATAGCAATATTAAAATGATATACAGCAGCTGATTGTCGGAGGGAATTGCCAACGATGCATGCTCCTGTGGGGTAGCAGTGAAAGGTGGTTCATCAGTTGGGGTCCACTTTTTTCAAATCAATGACCTAACGAACTACGTACAATTAAACACAACGTTCCAATACTCCGCTCATTCACCACGCAGAATGACTAGTTACTCCCATCTCTAACTCAACCTCAACACCGGGGTTAGGGGGAAGGTTAGAGATGCGGTTTGTTAAGGGTGGTCAGGTTCGATGTGAGGGTCATGGCCTGAACATTTAAACCACACCGAAGATTTTTACGGCCCCGATGTAATAATGTTCCTCCTGTGTCTGTTGTTTCTCGATGATCTGCAGATCAGCAACCAATGTGGTGTCACGGTGTGGATTGCGGCGCGCCTAACGAAGGCTTGTTCGGGCTCATTCGAGGGCAAAGGACGCGGAGTTGGCGTGTTAGAATGCGGTTAAGGGGCGGAGGTTGTTTCAATGCTGGGCATCGAGGAATCAGGGATGGCTCGAAGCCGTCGAAACCATAAAACGACGCACCGTTTGACAACCCTGTCTTCCACTATCATTGCAGGTAGCTCACTAGGAGGGTATGACATTTATGTTTTATTTCCTTCAGCATCTCCACTGGGCCCAAAACCCCATGGCAAGCCAAGGCATGAAATATTCAAGCCACTTTAGCCACATCTTCCATGCTTGTGCTCCACTCCGTCGTCGTCTTCTCCCTGTCTTGTGAATTATTTTATTTATTTCTCCTTTTACCTGCTTTCTCCTCGCCGTACCTTGCTGGTCCACGGAGGCCTCTTTCACTCCTTATTGTTATTTCCATACGTCCTGCGTGCCGTTCCTGTTTCCGCCGTTGTTGTCTGTCGCATCGTTTAGAGTCTCTCCTTGTCTACGTGAAATACCCGCCGGCTTCTGTTCGAACCTGCAGAGCGGATTGTTCACCCAAATAACGTATATCATCATTGCTGATAGATAGAGTCCCGTTTCCATATATCTACCCTTTCTGATGATATATATAACCCACGCCTCTTCCCAATGTTTGCCCGGCTTTGCCTCCCCTTCTCTGCTCTCCGCTCCATTCTCCTTCACACCGACTCGTCCCTGACCGCTGCCATGCCCTCCACAAGAAAAAGAGACAACAACTGGATCGACGTATGTATTCTTCTCACATCTTAAAATTACATCTTGACAACGTTGCTTAATATAAACGCTGATATTTTTTTCCGCATCTTCAGGGTCTCCGCGGTATTGCATCGTTCATCGTCGTTACCGGCCATATATGCACATCATTCTTTCCGTATTTACTTCACCCAAGCAACAGAGAGGGTGATTCTCCATCTCTCTTGCAACTCCCATTCTTAAGACTTATCGTTGGCGGACGTGCCTGTGTGGCTCTCTTCTTCATCATCACCGGCTTCGTCAACTCACTCCAGTCAGTCAAGAATGCCCGCTCCGGCAACACCACCGTCGCCCTGACCAATCTTGCACGGAGTACATTTACTCGCTCTGGACGACTGTTGCTGCCAACAGGCATTGCAACATGTATGGCATGGCTGCTTTGTCAACTTCATGCTTTCGCAATGGCTGAACGGATCGATGCGGCGTGGATTCGGTGGGGCGCACGGCCTCCAGATGCTTCAGTCTGGCAGGCTCTGTACAAACTGTTCATTGACTTGACTCTCTTTTGGAACGCAGGCCCTGGTGATTATGATGCCACTCAATGGACCCTTGTATATTTCCTCCACGGCTCGTTCCGTGTGTATCTTGCCCTATTAGCCATGATGCTTCTGTCGACCCGGTATTGGCGTGTCGTCACTGCATTTCTTTACATCTGGTGTTGGGTTATAGGAGATTGTAAGCATATCTACCCTTCTGTCTTTTCAGAACTCCCAACTGACTTTCAATGAAGATGTTGTCGGCATCAACATCTTTGCAGGCCTCATGCTTGCACAACTCCAAGTCGACCTTGGCCCCCGGGCCACTTCCATTCTCCCCAAACCCGTCCCGTCCCTAATTATCATCATAGGCCTATTCATATGCAGCTACCCCGAACACAGCGCTGAATGGGTCTACTGGTCCCGCATCATGAAAGAGTTGATCCAACAAATAACCCCCGCCAACACCGACAACAGTCGCTACTGGGTTTCCGTCGGCACCACAGTCCTGATGGTCGGCATCTTCTTCTCCCGCAATGCGAGAAAATTCCTAGCACTTCCCCTCTTCAACTTTCTCGGCCGTGCCTCATTTGCCGTCTACCTAATTCACAATAGCCTCATGCGAACCGTTCTGGTGTGGTTGACTTACGGTTATGCGTCAGCTACGACGCCCAGGACAAACGATGAGGGCAAAATCATTCAGTTGCGCCACCCGAATGGAATGGCGTTTGTCTTCATTCTCCCGGTCTTCTATGCCATCCTGTACGTGGCTGCGTATGCTTGGACTCTCCATGTGGATCCCTGGTGCGTGAATGCCGTCGACTGGATGAAGAACCATATGTTCCGGGAAGAAGAGCAGGAAAAGCAATTACCAACGATAGCCGAGAAACCCACCCCAATGACTGCCGTGGTGGCGTAACTTTTTTTTTTTTTTCATCTTTTACCAAACTTTTGCGGGTCTTTACTTTTTAAATTTTTTCATCGTCGCAACGGCTCGGAGTCTTTTTTATTTCTACAAAACGGTTTAACTGGTTTAACAGATTTCAGATATAATTCTTTTCCGGTTGGGTTTTTCGGTTGCGTACATGATTCTTACACATATATCACAGATATTTTCGCACGCAAAACATACATACGTAAAGTGGGAAATTGGAAAGATCCAGAAACAGATCGGAGCATCGTTTTTGACCCCGGCCCCGTCTCACCCTCACCCGCGCCATTCTTGGAGTCCCCACTTAACATGATCTTTTATACCTCGAGATAGATAAAGTCTCGTCTTCGGGCATGGTTGAAAGCCGTGCTATCATTCCAGATACGGATCCCACTCCGGCCAACCTTGGCGACTGCGGGAGAGGGTGAGTGGGTGCAAGGAAGTGGGTGAGATGTTACACACAAAAAAATGGGGGAAAGATTTTCCTTGTTGATCTAGATGCTGGTGGGTTGTACGCATGCAAATGTTCCGATGGCTGGATATGTCCATCTGGCCTTTTTGGTTTTCCCCCATTCCTACTTCCTTTATTTCCATTTTCATCTCAGTTTACTTTTTGTCGTTGCACTCAGGGGTTTGAGATACACACAAAATCTTGGAAACTTCTTACTAGTTATCACACAATTTACGTAACGTAATCCACTGCCAGCTCAAATATCTAGATTTCAACGTGAAATATCTAGATTCAAACAATCTCTAATTGAATTAAATTAAATTAAACTTTAGGTTTTTAACACGTCATTCTAGAATGATGCAGTATGTTATGTCACAATTGCTGCATCTTTATAGTGCTTATAAATGTGATCTAAACTTTTAGGATAATTAAATCAAAATCCTAACTGCTTAATAGACTCGATAGATAAAATAATAGATTCAATAACTTCTTCTTGATTAAATTCTCTTCATGTTGAATTTAGAGACTAGATCTTATTTATATGTACTTCTTTTTCTTATTTACAGGAAATATATTTTCATATTACGTTTTATAAAAACGATTTTAATTAATTTATATTTAAAAACTTTACCAATTAATTAATTTTTTTTCATCAAACTTTGAGATGGTTTTTAAGTTTTTATATGTTTTAGAGTTTTATTTATTTATGCAATTGACAAAAATTACTTAATATTTAAAGAATTTAATATTAAAATTATTAAATTAATTTAAAAATATATATAAAAGGAAATATTAAACTATTAAGAAATTTAATTTAATTAAATAAAAATTATTTTAATTATGATTATAATTTTCAGATTTAAAAGTTTGTTGTAATACTTAATACTAATGGTAAATAATTATATAGAGCTTTAGCTATTTTAAATTTTTTATCTTTAATATCTAATTTAATTATAATTATAATATTTAAAGAAACAGTATCTATACAGTATGTAATTAACTTGTAATTTTAATGTTTTATCAATATTATAAAAATTAATTAAAGTTGAATGTTATATAACAAAAGATCATTAATCATATTTTTAATAAATATCAACTAAGAGAATAATTTTTATTTATTTTCTTTTAAAACTTATTCACCTATTTAAATAGCAAATATTATAAGTTCAATCTTTTCTTTATTTCTTTTGAGTTTCTTGCATTTTTATTACAAGTTAGAGATACTGTGATGTATTGAAATATAACATTGAAGATACCTAAATTAATTTTACTAACGTAGTTAGGAGATAGCCTGGTTCCTTTCCTCAAATATTTTTAATCTAATACGTCATGCAAATATCGCTATTTCCTTTCGTAACTTATGTAGATGAACGATCTCATCTGTATTTTTAAATTTCTTCATTTGGGGAATTACACTGTATATATTTTGCAGAATTGTAATAAAGAGGCATGTGATTTTATTATCACTGCTCCGCCCCCTTTTCATCAACTCAGATCAACTCAGTTAACCCAATATAAAATAAACACAAGGTTACATACTCTGGCACCACACATACTGCTAATACATCTCTAACCACCCTCGCCGCCCTCAACACCAGGGTTGGTTGGTTAGGATTAGGGGTTAGGGTGTAGGATTAGAGTTAGTTTTAAGGACAAGAACCTCAAGAGCCTACTGAGACGTGCGTTAAGATATGTGTGAGATATGAAAAAATGTTTAAACCACCCACGCCAAAGGTTTTTCCGGGCGAGTTTTAAAACCAAGTTCAACTGTACGCCCACCCATCTATGCCTCTGTTCTTCTGTTGAGTTCACTCGTTGATATCTTTCTATTCAAGTAGATGCCCCTGGTTTCAGTCATAAATTTACTCTTTGCCCTGCCATTCACACATCTCTGTTGAAGTAACATTTGAGAAACAAGTTTTGATTATTACCCCTTTCAACACTCTTCCTATTGATTCCTGTGCCAGCCATCCTGCCATGCAACCGTGACAAGAAAACCTAGAAGAACCTCTCTAACAAAATAATTATAGTAAGACTTGAATTGCAGGAAACCATCCGTAAAGAGCTAAACTATAGAACAAACAGAAACCAAGAAAGCCAAGACACACCCTAGAACCAGGATTAAAGAAATGGAGGGAAATTCGAGGAAACGCCCATTGGGGAAGGGCAAAGTGGAGAAGGGTGAGTTGGAGGAAAACCGGGAATTGGATGGATGAGTCGACGGGTGGACAGTATCGATCTATGAGATTATACGGATACGTAATGGACTCAAAATCGGAGCGGATGCTCGAGGTGCTTGACAATCCATAAGCAGCATCACAGCACAACACTTTGCTGGCATGTATTCTGGTATACCTAAATATACCCTGGTAGACCAGACAAATTATCCATTGCCATCCACATATCTGTTCAGTTGTCCTTCCGTTTCCGTAGTCAACATTGGGAAGGGATTCGATTATCACATCGTTCTTCTCTTCTCACGCATGGATGAACAGACAACATAACATCGAATCTTGCCATTCAACTCCATTCCATTACCATCTCCCGCCTCCTTTTCATACCCATCCCATTCACAACACACCACCACCACGACGCAAAATCTATTAAACCCCCGCAGCCCCCGGCGCCCCCTCATCCTTCTTCAACTCAATCAGCAACTCCCTAAATCTCTCCTTCCCAGACCCACTCGCACCCCCTTTCAATCCCTTTCCACTAACATCAACCAACTTCGCAATGCGCTCCCAACTCGTGCCTCCCGCCGCCGTATCTTCACGGTTAGCAAGGAAATCCTCTGCCTCGTTGCGCGTGCGCTCCTTGGCGCGGTCTGTGCGCTTGTTATATGATTCGTAGTAGTCGTCGATATCCTGCTGGGCCTTGGTGATTGTGGCTGCTTTACGCTCGGCGGAGGCGGCGGAGCGGCGAGTGAGTTCTTCATCGCGTTTTTTGCGCCATTCACTAAGTGGGAAGGGGTTAGAAGGTAAGGTGTGGTTTTGTTTGGTTTTTGTTTGGTAGTTTTGAGAGGCGTGGGAGAATGGGATGGGACTTACCGAATTGCTTCCGTTTCTTCTTCTGGTTGTTTGTATGTGGAGTACGACGATTGGAAGGCGGAGGATGTGCCTGTGATGGTTCCGCCCGGTGCGACTTGCTACAGGTTAAAAAGAATATGCGGTTAGAAAGTGCTGTATATTCCCTTTTCCCATTTCAGCAACAGTAATGCAATTCAGCATATACCTCATTTTGTGATTCTAGGGCTGGAAATGACGAGTCAAATCTGCCAACTGCCTCTACACCTTCAAGGTTCTCCCCTCCACCACCAACTCCTAGCATACCATCATCTCCAGCATCTTGCACTGTCGCAGCTGTTTGGAGTCGTTGGTCGTTTGGCGTAGCAAACTGATCCGCATCTTCACCCAGGAGGGCACGTTCGCGGGCTAGAAAGTCTTCGCTACTAGCAGCTCCGATGGGACTGCCAATGGTGCCAGAGGGCTCTGTTTGACCTAGTTGCATTTGCAAGTTGCGGAGTTAGAGAAGTTGCTTCTTTGTATATATGGATGGATACATTAAGATGCGGAGATCTTTGGGTTTTGTTAGATATGTAGTTGGTGGAGAGGTCATACCGGCGGAGAAGTCGTCGAGAGATGGGAATCGGTCAGCCATTTGACGAGGGAGGTTGCAAGGGGAGAAAGGGGGTTATGGAGAGAGGATGTGGACTGGGAGACCAATTGTGGGGTGGATATCAGCAAATAGAGTCGGCGTGAAGGGTGCTAGTCGAAAGTATTTGGTTGTTTACATGTTAAGATGTCTGTATTCTCCACAAGAGAGAGACGAAGAACAAGTTGATGAAGTCGCAGCAGGAAACTCGGGGGGCAGGTGATTCTGCCGGGCGGTGAGTGGGGTTTTTACTTTCATCCAGTATAGTTATGACTAGTTAAATTATTAACGACCAGCTATTTATTTATTTACCGACTTGTTCATTGGTTATTGTTGTCTATCTTGATATCTCACACAGTAATGACAAGCAAAAGAATATTGACTTGTTCCAAAGAATATCCATCCAGCTCTCTTGCATTCTACACTGTGTTTCAGCTGCCTTGCACCCTTTGCGTTCGCCTGTGTCTTTCCCATCCAACCACCATCTCTGATCACCATTCAACTTCGTCTCCTCAACAAACAAAGCTCTCACTCCTTTGTTTTGATAGCTCGGCTCACCCCTTCCAACACACCCCTCTCAAGTCCAAAACACACCCTGCAATGGCCTACACCGACGATGCAGTCAAGGCAAAGTTATCAGCCCTCAATGAGACTCAGGAATCCATCGTCACAGTCGCCCAATGGGTCATGTTTCACAGGTGGGCTAATTCTCCCGCTCTGCTCCTCCAACTCCATGCTACTCCCTAAACAGCATTACTAAATTGAATTGTACCTTATAGGAGACATGCAGATCGCACGGCTCAGCTCTGGCTACAGAAACTTCGCGATTCAAATGGTCCCAAGCGGCTGAATCTGATATATCTGGCGAATGGTTGGTTTATCCATACCACGTGTACGGCTCAGATAGAGACCTAATCCTAACTCCTTCCGTTCTACAGAGGTCGCGCAACAGTCTAAAGCACGACGCAAGGAGGATTTCCTCATTGCCTTCTCTCCAGTGAGTTTAGATCTGGTGTTGTGTTTTCTTCTTTTTTTGTCACTGAACATCCTTTCTCTAGATTATCGCCGATGCAACCGCAACCGCCTACAAAGGAGCCTCCAGTGACGTGCAACAAAAGCTAAGGCGTGTGGTTGAGGTTTGGCGACAACGGCACATTTTCGAGGAGCCTATCCAACTGGCGGTAGAGGCTCGAGTTGATGGTTTGTTGACACCTCCCCTACATAGTTTATCACCTCCCCATCCAGCTAACTATTCCCAATAGAAGTGGACAAATCCAGGTCATCCAGCAAAAAGCCATTGCTAGGTGGCTCCCTCTTTGCTAGCTCGCCCGGGTCAATTCCACCAGAGCTACAGCCACTAGCTCCACTTCAAATTGCCGTCTCTAAAGCCACAGTATCTTCATCTGCGGCTGTCACGGCTGCAAACGCCGAATATGATAAAATGCACGATCCATCCGCACAGATCCCCACCCCACCCGTCCATGCCGCGCGCTTAAGCCAGCTTCTAAAGTCATTAGCGAATGCAGAAAGCTCAGTTTCCGAAATCATTAAGTCACGCCAGATTTTGATACAGGGGCTGGAAAAGCTGCTGGATGCAAACCGCGCGGCCCTACACAAGGAACAGGCGCAGGCCGAACAATTAGCGGCACGGAAGAATGAGACGGAGAGTAAGAAGCGGGACGTTGAAGATGCGATTATGCGCGGCTTGTCCGTAGAGAATTCGCCGGCACCGCATGGGAATGGCGGTGGGCATGAAACCGGCAATGCGGAATCGACAGCACCCACACAGATTGGCGAAGAGCCCGAACGTCCCGTCGTCGAAGCGCTAACACCACCTCCAGTCGAGACTCTCACGCCTGTCGGATCCCCAACTCCCAATCAACTTCAGCCAAGTAGCTATGAACATTGTCAGCCGGATGCTGCTGAGCAACAGTCACAACAACAACAGCCATTTTTAGCAGAAACATCGCTCCCAGAGACTTCAGTGCCCATGCAGATGCCCATGCCCATCAGTCCGGAGTTGACGTCGACCCTCGCTGCGCTACATGGCCATGCTCATGCTCATGGTGGACCGCAACAACCATCGACATCGGAGAGTCCTGCGAACGGCTCGAGTGCGAAGAAACGGAAGGTTTCGCATACGCAGCAGGATGAGTATATGGGGTTTGCAGCTGGAGGGGATGTTATGGAGGAGTTGGATGATGATGTTGCGGAGTTGTTGAGGCAGGAGGGGAGTAAATATTAGCTTTATTTTTTCCTATTTTTCCTTCTTAATGAATGGGTGATTTCGGTAAGGGATGTTAGTCTCTCTTTTTTTTGACTCCTTTTTTTTGGGTTCTGCTTGCTTCTGTTTGTATTTCTTTCTCAGCCATGTGGTTGTTTTGTGTCGTCGTTGCCTCTTGCTATTTCATGTTTGGCCTTTTCCCCTTCTTTAATAACTACGGGAGATTTAGTCTTTTTCATTGGCCTGCGTGTTTATTCCCATCGGGCGAGTTGGTGTGGCCGGTCAAGTGGTTTAGTAGCTTTTGTTGCCCCTACGTCTTCCCGCTTCCCATCTCCCTGGCCCCCTTCTTTTTCTCAATCTCATTTCACGTATGTATGTTAATGGAAATGAACATTTCTCTTGCTCTATGAGGCACCTCCGTCCTTCCCCTTGGGAGCCGTGTATAATATTGTTCTGCACAATGCTAGGTGGTTTCTTCAGTGATTGTAGATCTGGGTGATATATATTTACATATGATGCTCATACACGTCGAAGGAATGTGAAAACCGAAGAGAAAGAGTAAAAAGAGAGAAACAGCGCAAATGAATGGATGGATTTGCGTTGCTTTGTTCAGAAAAAGGAAAAAGCGTTAAAATTATTAAGAAAGTAAAAAAGCAATAGCTAAACCGCGCACGCTTGCTAGGTATCTACATTATATCATTAGTCAGTGCATTCAATATATCTGGCGTATCGATTCAAGTATCCCTCGGGAACGGTTTCTTCGATTACGACGCAAATGAGAGAGTAATGGAGAGGGTGATGAGTCGGGCTCTGCGGATTTGCGGGCATAGAGATAGTCATAGGGTTGATCCGCTCGAAGGTATCGTTTTTGTAGCCGTTGTATTCGTTGTGAAACTGATTGTGGAGGGGCTGGTCCCGGGGCGGGGGCGGGAGATGGGTTGCTGCTTCGTTTGGGTTTTACAAGGAGGAGGATAAACATGCCCACGACGAGGAGGATTAGGAGGAGAAGAATTTTGCGTTTCGTGGTGCGTTTTTGGTAGCTGGTTGCCTGTTTGGTTTTGTGATATAGTTAGTTAGTTTTTGATTTCCTAGAGATAGTAAACGTAAATAAAAGGGAAATTTTACATCTGTCAGTTCTTTATCCGCCGCTTTTACGTCTACGTTCATCCGCTCGACATTAAAATCGATGCGGTCGAGCATAGTACCCTGATCTATTACCATGGCTTGCAGGTCACGGAAGATATCAGATAATTCTATAATTCCCCTCGCGATATCATTGATTTCGCGCTCGCGTTGGAGTATGACGGCATCATTGGTCTGTAATTGCTTCTGGGATGTTTGGAGGAGCGTCGATTGTGAGTAGGATTTGTCGGCATCAGACTCTACTAGGGAGGGATCCATGTATGGGTTTTGTACAGGCGTTGCAGACCGCTCCAGAGGTGTCATTCCATCCAAGCCCCGTAATTCTGTATTCGAGCAAAAATATTAGTTAATCTGCAGTGAAAGCTGTTCCAAATATTGGAAATGCGCTTACTTTTCAGATATGTGCTTTGCTTTTTTCTAAAGCCGGCGCTGGCTTCCTGAACCCTCCCGGCAAGCGATATCTGAATATTTTTCGCCATCGTTTCATCCCCCTTGCTAACTCCTCCTTGTTGCTTCTGTACATTGACCATCGCCTCGATTCTCTGGATCGCGCGCTGGCAATCGTGGAAAGCCCTGGTGATATCCTGTGTCAATTGTTCAATCACACCTTCCTCTTCCTTTCTGGCATCCTCATCTCCAAATCCGGGCAAAACATGTTTCTGATGGAGTTTATCCAACCGGGCAGACTTCTGGGCGATTCCGGCCAATATTTCCGTCACTTCGTCTTGGATATCGACCCATCGGGGTGGAAGGAGGTCCATTTCAATGATGGCATCGCCGTCATCTTCAAACCCACCGCCGGACATAAGTCCGCGACGCTCTTCTGATATCGACGAGGAGTCCGCATGATTATTCCAAGCTCCGAGATATAGCGGCTTTTTTGAGGGGTGGTGAGCGAAGGATTGACGGTATGAGATGTATCTGCCGGAGCGAAATGGTTAGCAGGGAATCTATCCGATTGCAGACGACAGAGAGCTTACAAATTAGTGCGGTCTCGCCACATATTTAAAGAGACAGGGGGACAGAGCTTGGGAGTATAAGTAGGTAGGAGGAGGAGCGGTGGCTGGTATTTAGCTGGAGTTGGTGTTCGTCAATGCGCAGAACATCAGTGGGTATCCTATCATGATGGACGATGGTCATGAGATGCTCCGCCTAGATCGAGCAACATAGAAATACAGATGGGATTAGCAAAAATGCCTTACGCAAGCCGCTGCAACATGCAGAAATGGTAGGTTTGAGGTGTTGAAGCGTTGGAGGCTGATAAGGATGGAGGTAAATTTCCGGAGATTTTGGCTTTGACAACGCGCTTGCACCAATGCGGACTAGCGCTATGCAACGATTATTTCAAGGTTCTTCATCACTCACTTTCTATTGACATAATCTTCCCAGGCAGAGTATATTGTTTCACTGAGAACGCATCGATATCCTACGCATGTTGGAATGTATTGGAGGAGTCAACCGGGGAAACCATCGGGGCTTCTTCAATGTTTCTGACGACGACAGTCTTCTCCGGTGCTACAGGGCCCCAGCTCGACTTCACCAATGTGCCTGTACTCTTAGTTCAATTCTCCGTCTCTTTGATATCCACGTACGACTTTATTCAATGCGCATTCTGAGCCTGAGTTATATGCGGATGGGAATTCGCAGGATAGGGACATCTTAAGTGTTCGATGGTGGATATGTTCTCGAAATGCTTTTATTGTCAGCTCAACTAGCGCAGCGTCCGGTTAGAAAGAGTCTGGCTGTGAGTCAGGCCAGAATAAAAGCACCGGGCTATCCAGGTTGATTCCAGGTAATCCACGGTGGCCCATTGCTGCTGAGGATATCCAGTATCTTCATTTATGGTAGTATGAGCATATATGGCAAGGGAAAAATGAAACTGAGACTTCAGCGAACCGCGACTCTGGAGCAAAGGGAACGCTTATATCCGCATGATAGCAGTTATGGAAAGTGCTACACCTTGTGCTGCTATTTGAGGGTGTCATGATTATAATTTTGGAAGTCTGAAACTTGAAAATTCCGTACAGCTGAACAATAAGTTGAAAGCTAGCCTCCAGTTTGAAGCTCGAATGGACTAATTTTCCGTGCAAGTGTTACTTTGGCCTTCATACCGAACAAGAATATACGTGGGGTAAGCGGATTTGGATCAAACTATATGATCCCCACCTCTTCTACGACACTAAAAGCACAACTGAGTACCTCAAGAGTTTCAAGGTTTTGAGAGACAGAGTGTTCTTTGCGACGAACCTTAGTGAGATTTGTGAATGGCAAGAGATTTCGGCTGGGGTGTTCCCGATGCCGGATCGTTTCCTAGTCAACTATGGACCCGCTACATGTGACGCCGTCGTGATATCATAACTGCGGAGTAGCTTGTTGGCATCTATATCGAAAACTGCGGATTAACCACATTACCCCACATTCGCTCCATATCCTCTTGCAAAAGCCACCAACGATTGAATTGCTCAGGTTTTCAGGTATTGAAACGTGGCCATTGCGATGGCAGAGCCTGGAGAACCACAATCTATCTTTTTTGGAATAGTCCTCCCTCGGCAACCGGTTATTAGGGAAGATTAACTAGCCTCTTACTTAACTGCCAGCATAGTTATTCAATATCGGTTCAAGCTTACGGCATTCTACTGATGAAAACCACGAAATTTATAAGTTAATCCAAGCAAGTAAATCCATTTACCCTAAGAAGAAGAATAAATGCTATTGAAGAGAGAAATGGTAGCATTCGCTCTAAAGCACCCCAAAACACGGGAGCTGACAGGTGGAGATCTCCTGGCACAATCACTCAAAACATGTCGGCGTCGAAGTGACCTTTGGACTTCATGGCGGTCATCTCGACGCTTTTCTCTTGGTCTGTGAGTTCGCAGGTATTCGCTTCGTTGACACATGCCATGAGACGTTAGCTGTCTAGGCTGCTGAGTCCCACGCGAAATTCACGAAGAATATTGGTGTCTGTTTCGTGACTGCTAATAGCGGGTGAGGGACTTCGACAGACAAGGAAAATCTTCGAATACACTTCCCGCTTTGGAAGATCCAGGGGATGTAGCTGTGCTAATCGGAGGGGAAGGATAAAAGGATTTCGGATAGCCTCCCTGGTCTCGTGACAGCGTTGGCAGATCGATCCCCTTATTCTCTGCATCACCTCGTCACCGCCGCTACGGGATGCGGAGAACAATTCTTTACAGGGTGTTATTGACCAGATCGTTGTGTCAAAGCCGCTGACCAAATTTGCATGTCGAATGACCAACCCGGAAGACACCCAGGATTATTTCACATGCTATCCGTGTTGCGATGTCTGGCGCTCCAGATAGGTGGAAATTAATCTACGAAGAGGTTGTAATGAGAATAGAACTCATTCACATCTTTACTTTCCAAATTAGGTCCGGTTCTTGTTGATTTCCTATCTACGTGCCCTTCTCGCCTGTGTGTCAACAAATGATATCATGGGGATCTATTTCTTCACCATTACCTTTTGCTCCCGGGCCGCATACCGGCGCTGTGGAGGAAGCAGCTAGGCTTATCGGTTCCGCAAAGCGGCCCGCGATTATTATTGGTGCGGGAGGGAATTCATCGCAAGAGGTATAAGATTATTACCACTGCTTTCTTCCTATACTTTACCTAGCTCGACAGCTAATTTTCCAGCAAAGCCGGAGAACAACTGACCAAACTCTCCAAAGCATGTGGCATACTCATCTTCGACACAACAAAATGCATGATGTCCACCATCCCCCCACAATTCGAACTTCTAAGGCGGACCAGCTAGGAAACTCGCCATTCCTTCCATGATGGGAAAACAGCGGCCAGGCCTCATCATGCTTTTGGGCGGGAGAACGGGTATGTATCTCGGCGGTCGCTCTGGGGCAATATTCCCCAAAGAAAATTGCAAACTGATTCATTGACGTTGACGGAATGGAAATGAGACGCACACTCCCAGTCGACCTAGGTGCTGTATCTGACATGGTACAGTTCGTCACTTCTTTGAACCGTCACAACAACAATGCCCCATTTAAGGGTACAGTGATTTGGAGTGGGTAAAAGATACGCTGTCGATAAAACAACTTCCCACACCGTTCGAGCAGCAGCCGGAAGTCAATCCGTCATCGAAGAGACTACACCCTTACCACGCCCTCAAACACATCTTCTCTACCATCGAGCACGGAAGTATCATAATCCTCGATGGCAGCGAAGCGGCCCTCTGGGCCGTGGAGGTTCTATCCCTCTGTTCACCTAGCGCAGTGATCAAGTCAACTGGAAACTTAGGGTTCCTCGGCAACGGCTTCGGATACGAATTGGGAGCAGCCATCGCGGCGCCGGACCGCAAGGTGATTAATCTCCACGGTGACGGTTCCGCAGGATTTCCATTTCATGGAACTCGATACATATAGCGGTTTGATCTTGATATCATGACTATCGTCGTGAACAATTACTGCTGGGGTATGAGCTCGAATGGGCAGGAGTTGGTGTATGGGGAGGAGAATCCGGCACGACCTATCAGTTCGCTCAGCCCTTTGCTGGAATATGACGTTGTGGCGAAGGGAATGGAGAATGCGAGCGCGAAGTTGGAGAAGATTGAGGATATTGAGGGTGTGATTAGGAAGATGTGGGAGGTGAAGGGGCCTCGTTGTATCTATTTGATTGTTGATGATAAGCCGATTCATCCACTTACAGCTGCGATGGTTGGGAAGACGAACGATCCGAATTTAGTCGTGGTGTCGCACTATGAAAATGTGCCCAGCGGCGGATTGCACCATACATCCAAAAATATCTGTAGTTTAGTGTCAGTCTGTTAAACTTTTATATATATTTGCCAGCCATAAGAGTCGAACTGGTAAGCCTTTTGCCAAGGAATACAGAAAGATCTGTCCTACCCAGCTAACCCTCTTTCGCCAGCCGAATAAACAAATAACTAGCCCTATCGTGTGGCAAATCAGTAGCAGGAGATTAACCCCGCACCGGGAAAAAGTCAGGTTCTTCAGCTGCATGGTAATAACCTGAATGGGCAATCGTTTATTGTTTAGCCGATGTTTTGAGCACTGAGTACCCGAGAACCGAGCTACCAGCCTAGTCAATAAAGTATCGAAAGCAGATGTCTGAAGGTTCCACAAGTACCTGGGTATCGAGAATTTTAAATAGATCTCTCTAGCCATTTAACTCCCCTTAAGAAACTTGATTGTGTATTATCTTGACTGAACAACGACCGTTACCCTTTTAATCTCAATATGAAAGCAGCACGTTTCTATGCTGCGGGAGATATCCGTGTTGAGGATGTGGACCCGCCGCAAGCAACTAATGATAAGGTTCTGGTGGAAGTAGAATGGTGTGGAATTTGCGGAAGCGACCTCAATGAATATGTTCGAGGTGAGGGATAATGGTCGCGTATTTTCCGGATTAGTTGCTTCTGATCATGGGCCCCTTCTTTTTGTTGACTGTCATTTACAGTGGCCGAGTGGCTCTAACCATGTCAACTTAGGACCCTACGCAATCCCTGACGAAAAGAAGGGACCTCATCATCTTACTGGCGAGATGTTGCCAGTCACATTGGGTCATGAGTTCTCCGGACGAGTCGTTCAGGCACCACCTACATCCTCTCTCGTCCCAGGGCAGCCAGTAGCCATTGATCCGCGGTTCTTCTGCTCATCTTGCCCTGCATGTAAAGAGGCCCGCAACGAACTGCTGCAGACATGTGGGATCTCTTGGTCTGTCTGGGGGAGGAGGGGGGCTTTCTGAAATGGTTTCTGTTCATCCGGCCATGCTTCATCCGCTTCCGAATGGGACTGATCTGGCTGCAGCAGCATTGATCGAGCCCCTGGCGGTTGCCTGGCGTGCTGTCAAACGCAGTGGACTTAGCAATTTAAAAAATGCTCCCGTTTTGGTCATTGGTGCAGGGCCTATTGGCGTGGCCACGGTATTTGTATTAAAGGCAGAGGGTTGCGATATGATATTGGTGTCTGAGAAGGCTGCGCGCCGTCGGGAATTTCTGGCTGACATTGTTCACGCTGCTTTTGATCCTACAGAGGTCAATATTGTGGAGAAATGCAGGGAACTCACGGGCGGAGCTGGGGTGGAAATAGTAATCGATTGCGCCGGGGCCCAGTCAGGATTTGAACATGGCTGCGATAGCCTCAGGGTACATGGTACTTATGTCAATTTGGCAATTCCAAAAGCTCCAGTACGAGGTGACCTCTCTGCACTGAGTTTTGGGCAAGGGGGCTAACTTTATCTTCCCAGGCGACGCTCCCTTTTGAGCACTTCCTACTAAAGGAGCTAACATTCAAAACCTTTTTGGCGTATGACGAGACAGACTTCAAAGAAGTGGTAGCTGCCTTTGGCTCAGGTACGTATGATGATCATACGTTCCATGTAAAATTCGAGAAAAGTGCTGACTGCAACTAGGGCGATTTGCGGGGGTAGAAAGGATGATTACCCGCCGTATCTCCTTAGATGAGATCGTGGAGAAGGGGTTCAAAGAGCTCACAGAGAAACCCGGGGATCATATAAAGATCATAGCCAGCCCGAAAATCGGGTTACTATGAGATGCCTGAAGGGCAGGCCCTCTGTGGGCATACATGTAGCAGCTTGATGAAGGTCAGAGTCTTATTAGGCACACGAGAATAGCAGGAATACAGGCAGAAAGATAGCAGTTAACCCCGAAACACCTCCTGTTTCATAATTTTTGTACACAGTCCAGTGTTAATGAGCAAGTAAAGTTGGCTGAGATTGGCTGAGATTGACTGAGATGAGGAGAGGTTGAATGAGGCTCTTCTTCCCTTGAAATGCGCGTGGCAGTTCTTCTTGGCGCTAGGGCCAAGCGAGGGGAGAGGGGCGAAGTCACGTGACATGCAGGTCCACATCCCCTGGCCTTTCCACTCCCCACACATTTGCAGCATCCCCAGCCATCCTGTCTCTCACTCCTCTGCCCAGTGTCTACTATCTCCTCTCTCTTGACTATTTGTTTATTCTACATCCGCTGTGTACACTCGTCCTCCTAATCTACTATTATTTCACATATCTCTCGCTATGGTGCGTGTTTCTTTACTCCGCAGCTGGAGGTTCCTCGCCCAACCCCTCCTCACCGCCTGGGGCCGGAATCCTTGATATCAAAGTACCAAAATCATCAGGTTGCCCAACTGCTAATGCTCCATAATTGCATGTATAGGCCGACTCTTTGACTGAAGAGCAAGTTTCTGAATATAAAGAGGCCTTCTCTCTATTCGTAAGACACGCTTTTTGCCCTTGGCCCTCTCACCCCAGTTTACAGTATTATCCCCAGAGGATGACTAACGCCAGAACCACGTCTATAGGATAAAGATGGTGATGGTTAGTATTGTCGCTACCGTGCAGCTTACAAGGAGTCTAGGGAATGGCAGCAAATCGATAGTTCGAAGTGGAGAACCTGGGCTGACGTCTGCTATTTGTTGAAGGACAAATCACCACAAAGGAGCTCGGAACTGTGATGCGGTCTTTGGGACAAAATCCTTCCGAATCAGAGTTACAGGACATGATCAACGAGGTTGACGCAGATAATAACGGAACCATCGACTTCCCAGGTATGGCGTTGCGTGCAGCTGACTACCATGATATCTTCGATTTTCTAACCACTCTCGCGGTTTCGCAGAGTTCTTGACAATGATGGCACGAAAAATGAAAGATACGGATTCCGAGGAAGAGATTCGAGAAGCTTTCAAAGTTTTTGATCGCGATAACAATGGGTTTATCTCCGCTGCTGAGTTACGTCATGTTATGACTTCGATCGGAGAGAAGTTGACAGATGATGAGGTTGATGAGATGATCCGTGAGGCAGATCAGGATGGCGATGGCCGAATCGACTGTGAGTTAATACTTCATCAAGTGCCAAACGTATATGTACAGACTGATATCTAATTTGTTTTTCTTTTCCAAACCTCTAGACAACGAGTTCGTTCAGCTTATGATGCAGAAATAAGCAATGTTTTTTATATAGCCCTTGCTGCGCCCTGAAGCTTCGAGGGTTCGATTTACGTTTGTCATTGTCCTACCCAACTTAGCTGTCTCAGCGGATTGCGAGATGGTATTTATCCTTCGTGCCAGCAAATGTTAGTATTGTTTTAAGTACTGAGGATGATGTCGGGAAGTGCAAATTCAATTGGACCCATGAGTACCCTTGATGAGAAAGGCGCACCAGGAATGATAGATTGGCAACTTGGAAGAATGAAAGAAAAATATAAAGTCCACTCTAGTAACCCTGGCAGTTCACTCCTGCTTAGCTTTCTGTCTTATTTCATATTTCCCCTTTGGTTCAGAGATGATGTCTTTTCCTTTTATAATACGCTTTTCTCGAAGTCCTATTCTCAGCAGTAAGCTTCGAGCGTGTGTGCTGCGTCTAACGAATTGAAGGTTTGCAATGGATGAACAGTTTGAAAAGGCCCCTGATGAAATAATACTCAGCACAATGGTCTACATTTATCTTGTCTACCTAGCTTTTCTTTTCTATTTCTAATTCCCTTATTACTTTTCGAACAACATTAGTCAACAATCAAATCAATCTGCATCGTATATCACGCTTGACATCATAAATTTTGGTATTAAGGAATTGATGCTAGTCGTGCCCATGCCCATATGTTAGCATCACTGTTATTGAATACATGCATATTGCTGAGACAGCAGGATAGAGCAAATATTCCCCCCCTTTTCAGCTCAAGGTGAGTGTGGTGGGTTCTCACAAAACAGGGGCAATTTGCTTTTGACCAAACTTTCAACTACGGGTAACAACCTAGGTACCGAAGTACTCCGTATCTAAATAATTACTAAATTATAGAGGCATAACTATATGCTGGCTCTTTTTATTTCATACATTTAAGCATATCTTCTTAACGTCGGATGTTTGACCTAGGTAGATACCCAACGAAAAACACATAAAACACTGTACGGGTTAAATAGAAATATTTAATCATAGAAACCTCAACAAGAACAATTTCAAAATTCCTCGCTCATACATGCCAAATATATATATATATATAAAATAAAATAAAATAAAATAAAATAAAATAAAATAAATAAATAAATAAATAAATAAATAAATAAATAAATAAATAAATAAAAAAAAAAAAAAAACCACAACATCCGTGCAGTAACAATGACTAACCCGCACATCACAAACCCACCATCCGCTCACCGATTAAACCTAAAAACCTCCATATACTGCCTCGCCAGATCAACCCCCGCAATCCTCGAATTCACCTCCATGTCCTCCAACTTCCCCATCCGCCTTGCCTCCCTCACCTCCTTCCCCAGATGCGGCACCCGAATCACCTCCCGCGAACCCTCCACCGCAAACCGCCCCCAGAACTCCCGAATGAGCACCTCCCCAACCTCCCAATCCTCGTCCGTCGGAAGATCCTCAATCGGCAGCGCCGACGATGGCGATGAGGATGGCGTTTCGAATCGCTGGTAGATAATGCCATCCTCGTCGCCATCGCCATTGGCATCGCGATCGACATGGTCGTCCGCGAGCAACGTCCCGTTCACTGCCATCAGATTACCATCCCCATTCGCCACTGAGCTGGTAGTAGTGCCCGCGTTGACATCACCAGCACCGGCGGGACCGCGATATTCGATCTCAACAATCGTCCCGCGCATGCGTGTTTGGGGCGCTGTCTGGCGCACGTCGCCGATGCGGATGCGGAAATCGCCGATTTCAAAGGAGCTGCCGTTCGGTACAGTGATGGTGTGGCGCGGGCACCAGAGGGGTTCGCAAGCGCGCAGCGTTATGGCGTGGAAGGAGATATATGAGGGGTAATCCAGGATCATCATTGTTTTGGGGGCTGGTGGGAATGGGTCGGGCTTTTGGGTGGGTTGTTGTTGTTGTTGTTGTTGCTGCTGCTGCTGCTGCTGCTGTACGTTGACTGCATGTGCTGTTGCTGTACCGGAAGCTGCCGCCTCCCACGGGTCCGGATCGGGGCGGTCGGAGATATATATGAATCCATATGGCTGGCGGTGGCTGAAGAAGACAAACTGCATGAAGCGGGGTTGCAGTGGTGGTAAAGGCGCATAGTCACTTGGTGGAAGGCATGAGGGTGTATCTCGTAGTAATCTGTGTTCGAGAGCCCAGCGCCCGGACAGGGCTGGGTTATATGCGGCTCGAAGGCGCTCAATCACGGTCCCTGTGGCCGTGGGCGAGTTCTGGTTCGCCGGGATGAAATATAAGCTGCATTTTTTTTTTTTTTTCAAATTATTTTTTTAATTATTTTTTGCTGATGTTAGAGACTTAGGAGGGACAGTAGCAGTAATAATGATATATAATGTACGCACCCTGTGACCGGCATGGCGTTCAATTCTCCTCCACAAGGCTTCCTCTAGGGTTGTCCAGCAGCATGGAGTCGCATATGAAATAGAGCGGGTATTCTCAGAATCTGAAAAGAGTGGGGAGACACGAGATGGTGTAAAGTAATATGTGACAAGAAAACGGGATATTTCGTAAATGGCGGAGTGTCAGACACCAGCATATCACATATGCTGAATCATAAAGATATAGACAATAGGTAACTGTAGAAATACACGTGGAGTAAGAAATAAGCTAGGGAAAAACGACTTCTCTGGTCCAACGCTCCCCAGAGAAGAGCCGAAGCAGTGAAAGCGAATGCGCCCAAACTACAAGATTGCATATAGGGAGTGGATGAAGGTAGTTGGTGGCGTTTTCGACTGTGCTCGGCCGTCGAAAGTGAATAACAGTCAATGCTCCACTGATAACATCCCGTAAGCTGGGAAGGTTGTGAAAGGCTTATGGCAACGCCCGACGGGCATTCAAGCCCTCAGTTAATGACTGAAAAGAGGTTTTCGCTTTATCTACAAGGCAGGCAGGAGGCTTATATCCGTCAATGTCAGTCTCCCTAATTCAAACTCAAGACCTTTTGACGTCAAGGTGAAAACCGGGAAAAAAAAAAAAAAAAAAAAAAAAAAACCCGTGTATTTATTTCATTCAGGACGTTTGAACATCATCGAAGTCAGCATTGTCACGTGAGATATGAATATAATCTGACTAATCAAGCAGTGGGCGATCGATTTTAACTCCTCACCAGATTCGGTTGCGATCCTGTTAAATTGATTGCCGATCGCTGATGGTTTGTTTGGTGCGCAGTTTTTACGATGTTCTCAAGGAACGAACTCCGCAGTGATGCCATCCCTCTAGCGAAGTCGACAGCTGCCATCTCAGATTTATTTCCCATACTATTTTTGGGGTAGGTTCACGGAGTTCATCCATGACCTTTTATCAGTTGGCGGTTAGCCGCATTTGGGATATATTAATTGCGGGTCGAGGCCGTGTTTTTTATGGCTGTCATGATGATGAATATTCACGCAGATGCATATTCCAGCCCACCATGCCGTACAAAATGGAAATGGAATGGTATGGAACAGTGGCGAGATCACAAGTTTTTGATGATTGCCGATAAAGAAAAGTGGATATATAAATAATAATGGGCCAAATTATACACCGAACCTACCCAGCAGATCGAGGGCGATGTGATGAGTAAAATTGTTGGGTGTTTTGCCAATCTAAATTAATTACCAACAACAATCCTTGGTTGGGGGCGGCGGGCACACAACATAGTTGTTATCTTGTACGCGCCAAAAACTTCTTCATCTGTCCATGTCAAACGCCCTCCCCATGTTCGGCAGGTCTCCGCGCCAAAACCAAGAACTTGCTCTCTCCCTCGCTCGATGCACACGCTATGGACGTTTTTAAAGCCATCGCTGAACGCCATAGATACGTGCCCGCGTTCCCGGCAAGTGATTGATTGATTCGGGTATTCGTTGTTCCATGCATGCATGGGCGGTGAGACAACGCCAGTACGGTACTTTACATGTACCATACACGAAAGATTGATAAATCCCAGCCAAGCCCGAGTGGCTTCTGCGCTTGTTATCTTATCTGATCGAACTCGAACCCCAACAAACTCCAACTAATCTGGTTTCTGGGAGTTCGTTAAAACGTTATCCTCCACCCTCTTGTTTCCCTTAGTTTTTACCCTTCCCTCAACCAACCAGCCTCGACAACCCCCCCATGTCACTCATGAGAGTCTAGTCTTCCGATATCGGGAGAATCGGATTCTCTCACATCCGGGATCGTTGGAGGTTTTCTGTTTTCCAAGCTTTTCGCGTCCTCCCCTTATTAATAGCAACCCAAATGAAATCTAACTCGAATATTGGGATAGATCCCTTATTTTTCAATTTTCCGCCAAAGGGACGTGTTGTGTTCTAGAGACTGGTGCTGGCCAGAGTTTCATTCAGTTCTTCCTATTAACTGCTGTGACGGTGGAATTCTCGATTTTTGTGGGGTGGGTCGGGGGTTGAAACTTTTTTGTTTGTTTGGCAGGAAGCTTGATCTAATCTGATCCGCCAGCTAATTACCTAACGACCCACGAAAGTTTTCCCAGGGCAAATTCTTTAGCGCGGCCGGTAATGGGCTAGTAGTTCTGGTACGGTAACAGACTTCTATTTCGTGGGCAGTGGAACTTGTTTTCACCCCAGACGGGAAATTGAATTTCGGCACAACTTGGGCTGTGACCCTGCATTTGAGAGTAATTTGGTTGCAAAAGATAAAGTCAGCTGGGATGTAGGATCGGGCCAGCACCTGAAAGAAAAAAAAAAAAAATATTAACTCGGAGTGAAGCAGGCTATTCCTGACCGATTTGGTGCTTCTCACCTACTATGGGTAGAAAGTAGATGCACGTATGTACCCGTAAATTACAGGCCGTATCGAAACGGACAGTACTCCGTATTCGCCGATGTCGACCCACTCTTTTTTTCTTTTTTTCCTTTTTTTTTTTTTTTTTTTTCCTTTTTCTTTGGGGTGAGGGGGCCGCCATATCGATCTTCGCCGCATAGCATCTTAACCAACCTGCCCAATCTCTGCTCTCCTCCTTCATCAAACGACTCCTCCTCCTCTCTTCTGGACTTCCATCCCCCAACTTCTCCCTCTGCATGCGCGTTTTCTTGTTTATTTCATATCGAGACAATCCTTCCCATCTCCGTGCGAGGCTAAATGTAATATTGACATCTCACATTCACGTTGGCCCGTAAACCAATATATAATCTCGGTGACTACTCCCTCAGTTCTGCCGGTGGACTGAGACCCATTTGTCTCCCGAACGACACCCTCTTTTAGGACGCAAATCTCTCAGCAAGCATTATTATCTGCTCGTCGTTGAACATACTGCATCTTCCATTTAGCAATATCTTTGACCTTATTTACTTGTTGGTCAGCATTTTCGATATTCATTTTTATGGAGTTTGCAACTCGTCCTTTTTTTAAAAGGCAAGGCTAACATGTTATTCAGACGGCAGTTTGTGAAATTGCTGCTGCTGCACACCAGTTTTCATTGCTGCAATGGCATCGTCAATGACCCAGCATGTCGAAACCATCCCCATTTCTAGCACATCCCACCCGGATAACCCGGTGCCGGAAGAGCCTACCACCTTACCACATCTCAGAATAATGCATCCAGGAACCACCTCTTCTCCTGGCACGCAGACATCCTCTGTATCTACAATCGGAACTTTTGACTTGGCCAGTGATTCCGAGACTCCATCCACGCCAGCAACTGAGCCACTGGCCGATGAAGTCATAGAAGGGACAGCAGACCTCACCCTTAGCCCGAAATCTCCCCCACAGCCTACCCAACGTCGAAGACGAGCCTCCACTGTGCTGATATCTCAGAGCTCACATGATGTCCAGAAGATTCTAGGCAGCACTCAGGGCGGCACACATGTCCTGGAAAAACTGTGCTGTGGCGGAGGATGCTGCAAACTTCAGCCACTCCAGGAGCCTGCGTCCTCTTCCTTGATCCATCCTGTCATCAAACCAAAGAACAAGGCATTTGAAAGCTTGAAGCTGCAACTAGGCCAATTGTCACACGACAGCGCCTTGACCAACATTACACCTATGCCCGAAAAGACTGTGTCCTTTTCCCCTGTGCCTGCAGAATTCGCCCATGAGGACCTGGGACCACCAGATCATCCGCCTCGATTTGTCCAACCACATCCTCCTTATGAAGTTTACCGTGCTCCCCTTCGCCACGCCCGAGAACTGACCAAGCCAGGTGCTGAAAAGCGAACCTACCATTTTGATATCGACGTCACAGATTACCCTGCTGAGGGCGGCAATGTTGACTTCGTGGTTGGGGGCGCGATTGGCGTCTGTCCGCAAAATTCAGACCAGGTGGTGGATAACGTTTTTGACCTCCTTAACATTCCGAAGATGGTCAGAGATAGGAAAGTGATGGTGCACACTACTGCCGGTCGATGGCCCACTGTCTGGGGAGATGAAAAACCTCGCAGCCTGGTGACTACCAGGCGCCAACTGCTTAGCTGGTGCTCCGACCTCCAGAGCTACCCACCCACAAAGCAAATTTTCCGACTCATGGCCGAGTACGCCACTGATCGAGATGAGAAGAAGATATTGATGTTCCTCTCATCTGCGCAGGGGCAGGGGGCATTCTGCGACCTGCGCACCGACCGACATACCACCATATCTCAACTATTATCCGCATTTCCTTCCTCCCAGCCACCCCTCGACCACCTGCTCTCCACTCTCAACACCCTCATGCCACGATTCTATTCCCTTTCGCAGGATCCCCTCGTCTCATGCACCCTCAGCGATGGCAAATGCCAGCGCCTGATTGAGATCGCTGTCACCGTCCACGAAGCCCCTGATGGGCGTGGCGGTAATCGAACGGGCGTTGGCTCCGGCTTCCTCGAACGGAAAGCGCAACAAATTCTCGAAGCCGAGAAATCTGGCAAAGACATCTCATCCTTGGACCTGCACATCCCAATGTTCCGTGGTCTGATGTCCAATCCCCTTGCCCGGGAATTCGTCTCGGATGGCCCCATGCTTCTCATCGGAGCTGGCGTGGGCGTTGCTCCGTTCCGCGGCTTCGTCCAGCGTCGCTTGAAGTCTGCAAACTGCGCCAACAAAGTGTGGGTTCTGCAGGGGATCCGCGACTCGCTGCTTGACGAGCTTTATTCCGGCGAGTGGGGTGTGCATGAAGAGACTGTGAAGAAGGTCGTACAGAGCCGGAGTGGCGAGGGCAAGTATGTGCAGGAAGAGGTGCGCAATCAGGCGGATCTTGTCTGGTTTGTTATCAACTCGCTTGATGGGCGGGTTTTCGTTTGTGGGAGCAGTAAGGGTATGGGTGAGGGTGTTGAGACTGCGTTGGTTGATGTTGCGATGGCGAAGGGAAATTTAAACCGCGAGGAAGCACAGCTCTTCTGGCAAGGGAAGAAGGACGCAGGTCAATATATCACGGTATGTAAATTTTTTGGGTCCCTTTTGCTTTCCTCTTTTTCCTCCAATTCGTATAACTTAGGGAGGCAACCGCTGACAGTCCTTTCATTCTTCAGGAGACGTGGTGAAAACACCTGGCCAACATATCTCAACACCAACACCATGATGCTGGCTGCAATGCATTCGTAAATAACCATCGGCTCTGCAAGCCTTACTTCGAACCTACAATGTATCTCCCCACCCAACCTTGCATCCACCTCATTCATGAGAAGAACCATTTTAGTACAGAATGTGCTACGTCGATTTCCAATTTTGAGTCTCCAGTTCATCCTCACAAAGGAATCTCGAATGGATTTTAGAACCTCCTGAACCCTATGTCCGCCAGCTCTCAACCTCCTGCCCGTCATCAAATATCCCCCGTGCTAACAGCTCTCCGGACGCCTTAGTCATACGTCATCAACGTTCTTGCCCGCCTTTTTCGGCCCTCCTGGGAACCCTCCAAATGTCAACTGGCCCCATGACCGTGCGGTTTTCTCACATAACCTCTCATGGCAAACAGCATCTCGTGTTCTTCCACAAGCAACAAAAGGGTTCTTGTTTCATATGCATCTCTTTATATTTATATCATCATATACTTTCTCCCCATTTTCGTTGGCAATATTATTTGGTCCAAATTGTTGGATAGAAGAGAGAAACAAAACCTCTTGTGCTTTCTCTTCTTCTCTTTTCTTTTTAACACGTCATCGTCTTCCTATTTGTATTATTTCTAAGAAAGTTACTCATTTTCGATTGTGGTATATTCTTCCTCCCTTTCTCCCCCTTTTTGTCATTGAATCTTGTTTCTTCATGGAGATTATTCTTCCCTTGCATTATTTAGATGCTGGGGAAGCCGCTGCTTCAAAGAGGTGAAAGCAATGATACTAAAAGACGGCGAGGGCCTTTTTTTTTTTTTTTTTTTTTTTTTTTTTTTATGATGGGATAAAAATAGAAAAAGAGATCAGCAATGGCTTTAACGTTTTACCCTGTCCCCCTTACATCTATCTCTTCAATTTCCTCTGTTTGCATTTTGCAAGGGTGCACTTTACAAGATTTCGATGGAGTTCTTTCGGTATTACATTCCGTATTCGCGTGGGATGCTCGTGTTGTTGAATATATTGTTCAAGGACTGATTGCGTTTAGGTTAACAGCTGGAAATTTAGGTAGTTACTTATATCAAGCAACCTTTGGCGGAAAGCAGGCAAATATACTTTAGCGCTATTGCCCATTTCTTAGTCTTGAGTTTATCAAATGCTAAATACTGTTAACGAAAAGAACAGGGTCTGTTATATCATCCTCCTGGGCGAGGCGATCTGGATTGCCCCACGGCGCATTTGTTGATTAGGATATTGGAACGATAAAATAGCAAATAGAGGGCGTATGTAGTATTACCTTGCTTTTAGCAGAACAGGGTGCTCTGCTGGTGAGAAAGTGGTATATATATAGAAGTTCAATGATGTTGGAGATCAACTATGATTTTTAAAATTTCGGCCGGAAAATCTTCGGCGTGGTTTAAAACTACATACACTAATAATGCCTCAAAAGGCATATCCCACACGTCTCATCTATATGCTCTTGATGGTAGTGATTTTATCATATTTCTCAAGGTCCTAACTCTTGACTGACCCTAACCCTTGGAGTTGGGAGCGATGAGGTTGAATAGAGACGTATTAGTAATGTCGAGGTGTACGTGCAACAACAGAGGATGTAATTAGACAGCGTTTACTTTAGAGGGTTCCAGAGTTGATATAGTTTTAGAAAAGTGGGCCCAACTTTAAAACTATATTCAACTTTCCTAACATATATTATAATCTTCAATGAATCGGTGCATCTTGAGGCAGCCATGGATTATCGGGAGGAGAGAGAGGGGGGAGAGGGGAGGAAAGGGGGGATGGGGGTAGGAGAGATATTGAATTGATTCTTCACACGAACATCACCAACATATACCCTTAATTTCTTTACGCATGGCAGAAATGTGGGCTTCTCGAAACAATGCTATCTTAAGTAGCACCCCCTTGTTTAATTTCCCGCCTTACCCTTCCTTTCCCCACCAGGGTGAAAAAGCTCGCATTAGTGCAGGGAAGTATGCAAGCTTCAAGCCCAATCCAGATATCAACTTGCTCTTTACTCTCCAGGAAAAACGCCGGATGAAACCATTGTTCAGAGACGCGGAATGTTCGAGGGAGGATTGCGACCGTGCTGCAAGAATGTATGCTTTTCACCTTTCAGTAGTGAGTGCACTTTTGCCTGCAGACCGCCGCGAGGCTGAGATCCACAGGGTGCACAGAACCAGACTGCCAAGTTGGGAGGTTAGGTCTTCACGGCGGGGCCGCGCATATCAATGGAAATATCCACTCCATTCAACATAACTGGGATTCAGGCAGCGATTTGCGGACGGGGGTGCTAGGATCTGAAGTTTGGATTTTTCGCTTGAACGGAAATCTGCCCTAGCCAAGGATAGTTTTGCTGGTTGATTGGTGCTTGAATATGACGTCTGCATTAAACTCTCTGACTTTAGCCGCGTAGAGAGAAATCACTCGTATGAAATATGTATCTGACTGCAGTGTAGGTACATAAATGTGCATGTGAATATACTTGTGAGTGTGCGCAGAGGCAAACAATAATTGAATTTTTTGTATTTTTCGGCGGTTCTTCGATATGACTTTAATGGGGCAAAAGGAATATTGCACACGATACGATTTGGCGCATGGTCATAACCAGGCTTATGGAGGCTTATGAAGAGTCGTTAATCAATTCGTTTCCGGCGTATCGAATCCTCCTCTTTCTTTTGTCAGGACCGTTGGTAACAGCGCCTCATGTTCCGGCAAGACGGTCGCAAAAGACAGCGAACCGCGGGAAGCCCACATATATTCCAAGCTAGCAATCGGACAATATATAAATGGATTTTTTGAATATTGAGGTCTGCAAGGAGGTCGGTGAGACCTTTACGTTTCCACCTTCCTGATGAGAGGCTAAATCGATCGGTTGGATATGGTTTACCCAAGTGTTGGCTTTTCTATGAAATTTATCGAAATTTTCAGCGCATTTTTAACTGTTGTTCAATTTAAATTTCTCCTTTTTCTTTTTCTTTTCTCTTTCTTTTTTTCTCTCTTTCTTTTTTTCTTTCTTTTATTTTTATTTTTTTATTTTTTTTTTTGGTGCCGTAAGTAGCCGCCGTTCTTGTGACACATCCATCTTCACTTGCAGGTTATTTTCAAGAAAATCCCTTCGTTTGACAGAACGGGGCGGTGGTGGCACCGACCTGGTGCAGTATTCCGTCCACAACCTTGGGACAAACTTTAAATGGCGGTTTTACAGACGTGTGCCAAATACAAACAGGTGGCTTAGTCCCTCGAGCATGCCATGCAACCCGGGCCCGAGCTCACAAGCTGCTGTGCATCCACTCGCAGTTACGGTTTTCATAGAAGAGGCCATGGTGCGCTCCTTGCACATGAAATTTTCGGGTTCTTATTTTTCTAACAGCAGCTGTGATGGTGTATATCAGGTATCATGTGCGGCCTTTTGCGTGCACTTAGAAATGTATTTCGGAACAAAGGTTAGCAGTCATACAACAAGGAATATCAGTGCTGGATGGCAGCCTCCGCCTTCGTGGTAGAAGGCAATACCAACGTAGCTCTTTTCCAACTGGTCTTGGGGAAGGGCCCAGTGTAACCCCCCCTTAGAGATTTCATTCTCGCTGCAGTAACCCATATGAGAATCATCTCCGTCCAGCACTCAGAAGACGGGGTCGCAAAAATAAGGGGAGCGAGTGTCAAAAGTCTCATATCGAGTCTCTTGAAAGCTGACGGGGATGGGGGTTGTATTTTTCCATGGATACGGATGCACACATTTGGTACGTTGATAAATCTGTCACATTTTTCTAGTGAAGGATGTCAACATGTACGGTAATCTACCCTCTTCTGGATCCAAGCCAAAGTGGAAGATTCTCGATTAGAGAGACTCATTGAGAACCTGGTGGCCTTTATAGAGTGGGAGGGAGAACCAGGGTGCTGGTGGTACGATTAAGCGTCGTGTCAAGTCATTAATTCGTCGGCCCTATATCTGAATAAGAATAATAATCTACCGAGTGGAAGAAGCCTTGGTATTATTTTGAGGATACCTGGCGCAAGGATTGTGCCATTGCCGGCCGTTGAGCAAGATTTAAGAAATGCCTGCATTGTCGTAACCAACCCGCGTCTCTGCATTCCCCGTCGCTAACTCTAAGGGTAAGGTTCAACAGAGCAAAGTTGTGAAATTGAGCTGCTGTGCCCATAGATACGGGATATGCCACATTGCCATTCTCATTCATTGGTGGATTCTCCCTCTGCTTTAGCAGTGTCTATGCATGTATTTGCCCAGATATTCGGAGGGGGATGCGAAGATTGAGAGTCATGACTCGGCTACAAAATATTCAGTCCATTGGGGGGTGTTGACAAGTATGGCATCACTGACTGAGACGGCATTGAAGTCGTGTCCACAGCATATGGCGGGTGTTGTACTTGTGCCCATTGGGTTGGTTTGTAGCGGTAGCTGTGGTTGTATCTCGCTGTATGGCTATGGTTGGAGTTGTGATTTTGAGGACGGGCGATCTGGGATACACAGCCTGGTCGCCCTTCGTCCCTTTTAGGAAGTTCTGGACGTGCACAACGCAGAACCGCATCAAAAAGCGCCTTTTCCCTGTCTATCAACAACCCTCTGGAGCAACCATCAGCAGTAGGTTTGACACACAGTGACAGAGGTTGTTGCTGGTTGGCTCTGTGCAAGTACCAAATTAAACACGAAAGAAGCCAATTTCCGTGCTGATTGTGCTGAGATTCAATTCAAATGATCAGATCAGGTCCACGGACCCCCTGTCACTTCGCTGTCGCTACCCGGACATATTGCTCCAAGTTTCCCAGGCATGATCGTCCGCTCATGCCACCGCGTGGTTCGACAGGCTGAGCTTTACGGGTTGATGAAAATAGAGCAACTAGAGCATTCAGCGAGGGTCCCATCGGGCGGCACAGCGGCACAGGGGCACAGGGCGGATAAGAGGAAAATGAGAAGAGAAAAATGAGAATCGCCGAAAGTCATACCACCTGAATGTCGCCGCCGTACATGGGGGTAATCGCTGTCTGAACGGAGTACCGTGGACCTTGAATTTGAATTCGGTTCGTGACTTGGCAGGAACAACAACTGGAGATCGCCCCGCGGCTTGATCCGCCGATTGTCATGTCAGTGCTTGATGACCGCTCAACGACCCTGTTAGGTG